ACGATAGCACTACTACTACTACAGCTACTATTCCTATTACTACTACTAAGGTTAACAATAACAATAATAATAATGATAACAATAATGATAATAACAATAATAGTAATAATAATAATAATAAAAACAAAAACAACAGTAATAATGATGATAATAATAACAATGAGAATGAAGATGCTGATAATCATAACAACTATAACAACATATAGTGATAATAATAACAAGAAAAAAAAATAATGATAATGATGATGATAAAAATAATGACGATAATAATATCAACAATGATAAGTTTGATGAGTCATGATAATGGCATTGATAATGATAAGAACAATAATAGTAACAATAACAACAACAACAATAATAATAATGATAATACTAATACTAATACTAATAATAATAATGATAATAATAAAAATGATAATAATAAGCATAGTCATAATAATAGTCGTAGTAGTAGTAGTAGTAGTAGCAGTAGTAGAAATAATAAAAAACACTAATACAAAAAATAATAAAAACAACAACAACAATAATAATAATAATAATAATAATAATAATAATAATAATAATAATAATAATAATAATAATAATAATAATAATAATAATAATAATAATAATAATAATAATGATAATAACAATTCTAATATTATTATTATTTTCATTAATAATGCTTATAATAATAATGATAATGAAAAGGAAAATAATAATAATAATAATAACAATAATAAAAATAACAATAAATATAGCGATACTTAAAACAACAACAAAAACAACAATGGTAAGAATAATGGTAGTAGTAATAATACTAACAGTCATAACAATAATATTAGGGACTATAATGATGATGATCATAACAAAAACAACATCAGTAAGAATAATGGTGGTAGTAGTACGTGCAGCAGTAGTAATGCTAATGATAATGATAACAAAACATAGTATGATATTAATGATGATGATGATGATGATGATGATGATGATGATGATGATGATGATGACGATAATGTTAATAATAATGATAATGATAATAATTATAGTAATGATAATTAATAACAATAATAATAATAATAATAATAATAGTAACAATAATAATAATAAAAATGATAATGATAGTGATAATAATGATAATAATTATGATAATAATAATAATAATAATAATAATAATAATAATAATAATAATGATAATAATAATAATAACAATAATGATAATAATAATGATAATAACGATAATAATAATAATTGTTATTATTATAATTGCAATAATAATAATAATGATAATGATAATGATAATAATGATGATGATAATAGTAATAATAATAATAATAATAATAACAATAATAATAATAATAATAAAAATGATGATGATGATGATGATGATGATGGTGGTGAAGATGATGATGATGATGATGATGGTGGTGAAGATGATGATGATGATGATGATGGTGGTGGTGAAGATGAGGATGATGATGATGATGATGATGATGGTGGTGAAGATGATGATGATGATGATGGTGAAAAGGATGATGATGATGATGGTGAAAATAATGATGATGATGATGATGGTGAAAATAATGATGATGATGATGATGGTGGTGAAGATGATGATGATGATGATGATGATGATGGTGGTGAAGATGATGATGATGATGGTGAAAACGCTGATGATGATGATGGTGAAAATAATGATGTTGATGGTGAAAATAATGATGATGATGATGATGATGGTGAAAATAATGATGATGATGATGATGATGGTGGTGGGGAAGATGATGATGATGATGATGGTGATGAGATGATAATAATGAGGAAAATGATACGTAACACTGACAAAAATAACTATATAACAAAACAATAGACACTAATGAGGATGAACATGCTTATCATGACTATAGTAATAATGACAATCACACTGATAATAAAAAAAATATGCAATTATAACAATCGCGACAGTCATACCATTACTAGTATTGAGCAATACATTACTAACAGTACGAGGCGCGATATTCCCATTTTGAGGTGAATATACTCTCCTACGAGGTATAAACACAAAGCACGTTACAGAAAGCACGTCCCTAGTATTGCTAATCGAAATCGAGAGATGTATAGTGATAGGATCGACATTAAAAAAAAAAATAGACGGAGTGACGGGATCATTGCGCCATCCTCGAACGCATTTTGTCGAGATTGTCGTAGCTTTAAAAATCATTATCTTTCGAAGAATAATTTCAGATTTTTGTGTCAAAAAAAAGGGGGGGGAAAGATGGAAAATTAAAATTAAGATGTCATCTAGGAACCGTATGAAATATTTTTTTCAATAATGAATTCACTCGGCGTCAAGCTACTCTGACGTCCGATCCTGCAGTATAAAAACTTATGTCAACATTTTTTCCGTCTCACTTTCGTCCCCGTCTCCTGACAGTACGTGCAGTTCATTCCCAGTCCCGTCCAAGTCCCCAGGCCGTCGTCATGGCTAACCCACGCCACGAAGCCGTCAAGAACGACCTGCTGGAGGCAGTCAGGAGCCGCGAGGCCGGCGCTTACCTGGAGGAGATCGACGCCTTCCTGAAGCAAAAGAAGAAGTACAACGCCGACGACGTCAACCTCGCCCACCAAATCATCGAAGTGTGTCTTGTCAGCGACATCCTCGAGAAGGAGCTGGAGGACGTGAACGGACGCCTCAAGGAGAAGTACACGCTGAGCAACGAGAACGCCGAGCTCAGGGTGAAGACGAAGAAGAAGACGACGGTGAAGAAGGGGAAAGTGAGGCGGTTTAAGAGGGTTCCGGCCGACAAGGAGGGGACCTAAGGAGAGCAGGACCAAGCATCGGATGTCCGTAAGTTGCAGTTTCGCTGTCGGTTTTATTCGGTGGGTTGGAGCGAGGTGGTGATCCGGGTACATCAAATATCACTTATTTTTGTCACTTTGTCTTTTCACCCTTGCGTGTCGATTGCCTTGATTTTAATTTTGGTATTTTTTTCTATTATCCTGTAGCTTTATTATCGTTTATTAGCTATTATTTTTATTGTTCTTCGTTTTCCTCCTCACTTCGTTTTCCTCCTCACTTTCATCACGTTGCTTTCGTTCCGTCGTATTTATTTCTTGTGTATTCTATTTCTACTGTCGGTATTTGATTTTAAGTGATTTGAAATATATCTATTAGACTGTATTGGAGAGCGAGTGTTTTTTTTATTATAATTTTTATAATCTTTATCATTTTGTCCAAGCATTTAATTCCAAGAATCAGACGAACACAAGCTTTCCTTACAACAAGGGATTTTTTTTTCGTGTGATTTCCAATCGTCTCATAGTTTAATAAATCTTCTCTCGTTCTATCTTTCCTGCAGATAATTGGTGTTCAGTTGAAGGGGCAGCCCTTTGCAATTCGTGGACGTCCTCCCACGGATGGAGAGAGCCTGGAGACGACAGATCCTTCGGCAGGATAAGGACAGCCTCGCACCAGAGGTCGCCGGGGGAACTTCGGAGAGCCAAGGTGCTTCGTCCAAGAACTGAACATGGATTTAGTGATATCGGTGCTGTGATCATTGGCATTGGAAAAGCGTTGGGGGTGTTCTTTCTACCGTGTCTCATGCTTTATTGCGTACTATGTAATTTTCTTTCTTTCTTTCTCTCTTTCCCTCTCTCTCTCTTTCTCTCTCTCTCTCTCCCTCTCTCCCTCTCCCCCCCCTCTCTCTCTCTCTCGCTCTCTCTCTCTCTCTCTCTCTCTCTCTCTCTCTCTCTCTCTCTCTCTCTCTCTCTCTCTCTCTCTCTCTCTCTCTCTCTCTGAGAACTTACATTTGTTAATCTCAATTTTTATTCTCCTTCATTTTGTTGTTCACCTTTACCACATCAATTATTATTTTTTCTCTCTTATTTTCGTCTACCAACAGTACAGTTGTTTTGACCATCATGTCTATCTCGTTTCCTCCTTTCACATTTTAGCTTTATTTCGCGAGTTTTCTTTTTTCTTCGCATTTCTTCATCATCTCACTCTCCTCGTTTTCTTTTCGCGGAAATAGTTACCCTTTCATTTAAGTGTTTCTTTCTTTCCCACAATATAATATTTTTTTTCTTGCATTCTTCCTCTTCTGTCCTATCTGCCACATCATCTTTTTTTTCGTTCACTTTCTTTTCATTTCATAATCCTTTCTGCTTAAATACGTGTTGTTTTAAGGAAAGTGAAGTTAATATATATGCATTTAACAATTTATTTATTCGGCGAATGCAAAGAGTGGAACTGTCTACACAAGAAAATTATAGGATAAAAGTGAAAATGGGATAATTGAAAACGATAAGAAAAAGAAATAGACCATTAGTCTGTATAGAAATTATTGATAATTAGTTTTACTACAGTGAAAAAAATGATGGACAGTTTGCAAAGTTAGATTTTTTCGGTGGTTATTCGAAGTTTTCGTTTATTGGTAATATGTTTGCAAGGAATAACTGAAGAAAAGTTAATTAACAACTTATAGCCACGTTCCCTTGTGTAAATATGCTCCAATATACTCTCTGTATTTACTTAAGAGATACCAAGTACTTTCACACATTTCTACATTTGTTTTCATACAAGGAAGGTGACAAAACATTCAACAATATAAGCTGAATATAGAAAATTTATATATCTTCGTTCAAGAAAGCTATTTTGTGTGCAGTGTTTTTTTTTATTTTATTTTTTTATTTTTTATTTTTATTTTTTTTGTTGCCTAGTTACATGTTTTATATATTTTAGTTATAGTTCAGAATTCTCATTCTTTATTTCAATCGATTTTATGATAATTATTATTACTATTATTATTATTATATACATTTTTGTATATTGTTTGTATATTATTATTATTATTATTATCATTACTGTTATTATCATTATTATCATCATTATTATTATCATTATTATTATTATTATATATTTTTTGGGTGAACTACGTATCAAATGTAGTATTTGTGTGTGCTTATATATATATTCATTATTGTGCTGAGTTCAGTATGGTGCTGTAAACCTTCGTTCCTAAAAAGAAATGGTTTTTCATTAAGTATATACTATAAGATTAGCTTTTGATTTTTGTCATTGCTGCCATGCTAAATTTCCTTTCCTTTTTTCATTAATTGAATTGCTTGTTCATATTCTAGTTTTTGACTCTTGAATATTCCATTTCTTTCATTTTTGTAAAGGAAATTAATTAAGAATTTTAAACAGAATCAAGCTGTTTTGTATGGCTTTAGATACTGATTATTGGTAATGATAACACCATAAATTTTATACATTAATTTCTCATATAATGGTTTGTTTATATGTTATAGCTCCCCCTTCCAAACTGCCATTTATTTTAACTTTGTAAAGGAAACGTTGTATAATGATCATGTTATTATATTATGATCATAATATTCAAACGTATTATATATCCCAATACATTTTATAAGTTGATAGTTTTTATCTATATATCCTTACTTATCTATCTATATATACACCCGGTAATAAAACATGGGATTTAAAACCAACAGAAAATGGCATGTGAGCACTCATGGCTGCTAAAAACTGTCTTCTCTGTAATTGTTGCCTTTGGTGTGGTTTCGCATGAGGCCGTTTATCATTTCAGAGAAGTGAATACTGTATTTCAAAGAAACTGTTTTCTTAATAACAGAGTTTACAACCAAACCAGCAGCTAACGAGCATCACCTATGAATATACACATATTTGCAGGATAAAAAAAAATAAAATAAATCTCTCTCTCTCTCTCTCTCTCTCTCTCTCTCTCTCTCTCTCTCTCTCTCTCTCTCTATATATATATATATATATATATATATATATATATATATATATACACACGTGTGTGTGTGTGTGTATAAGGATAACTATAATAATATAACCATTTATTCCCCAGTACTGTTGGTCATTTTTACATGCACAGTTATACTCTATTTGAAATTATCGTAGTTTGACTTGCGGAATTCCTGTTTGTGCAGACGCCAAAACAGACTTCCAAAATCCTAGCAGGAAGCAACCCGAAAAGCGAAAGAAAAGTCGAGAAATCTCAGATGAACTCAATCGTGAACTCCTCATTACAATATACGATTTATGAGGGAAAGTGAATTCCCCTTGTGAAACATTAAAGAAAGAACAAATGCTTGGATTTTTAGACAGGTAACTCTCTGATAGGTTGTTACTCTATTTTAAAGTGTATAAAGAATAATATGAAACAAGGAGATAAAGTAAATTCATAATGTATTCGTTACCCGCTTGAAATATTGAAATCTCAGTCTTGTTTTTCGTTTCGTTTCCATTTAACACCTATACTTGCACATCCATGATTTCGGTGCATTTTATGAACTGAGATAAAGATTAGTTTCTTCCTAAAAGAGAATAGACAGAAATGTTCCGTTTTCTGTAAGAATCGTTTCGGGGTAAACTATTTTTTTTTTGCGTATCCGTTATGTGGCTTACTACATTACGAATGCTGACTTACAGAATGACGAGGAATATCAATTACAATATGCTGAGACGTAATAATAATTAAATCAATAAGGAATTTACTCATCATTATGTTAGCAATGCATGTAATAATAATAATAATAATCATGAGTAGCCGATGTTTTGAAAAAGTAAGGAAACGAAAGCTTAATGAAATGTCATTTCAAATATAGTAATCAAAAACATTCAAAACGCGGCTTGCAGTTGAAAATATGTTGAAGTAAATTACCTGCCTCTCCATTCCTGCTTACCAACGAGGGAAAAAAATAAAATATAGTTGAGTGATTCTAACTTTATACTTTGATAGAAATCGGTACATTGGAAAATATAATTACAAATATCGTAATCAAAGAATCTTGATTTCTTAATTTTTCTTATTCTTTATCTATCTACGTTTTCATCTTCGTCTTCTTCTGCTTCTCCTCTCCGTTCTTTTCCTGCCTATTCTCCCCTTTCTCCTGCTTCTTCTTAACCTCCTTCTCCCGCTTCTTCTCCTCTTTCTCTTGCTTTTTCTCCTCCTCTTTCTCTTCCGTTTTTTTTCCTTCCTCCCCATTTCTTCCTTTGCCGTAGTTGCAATGTTCGTGTTCATTCTTATCATTTTGCTTTTTCAAGTCATGAAATAATGATAACACGGGAAAATATAGAACACTAGTAAAAATCTTAGGCAAAGGAGAAAGATAAAAAGTGTAGGAAGAGAAAAGAGACGGAGAAACAAAGAGGAGACTGAAGGAGAGGGATAAAGAAAGAAGGAGCAGGAGAAGATGGAGTGTGCGAAGATGAAAAAGAAAAGGAAAAAAGACGGACAAGGAGAAGAGAGAGAAAAAGAAAAAGGGAGAAATCACACACATACACACACACACACACACACATACACACACACAAACACACACACAAAGCCACACACACAAACACACACATATATATATTCCGATAGTGATAACCGGGCATAATCAGAATGAAAAAAAAAAAACATTCTAATTACTGTCCTTAATCAGTCCAATCCTTCGTAAAAAATACAACACTGGGGACTAATTAGATCAAACCAGCCTGTCATCCTGTCCTTGTGTTTGTCTCTGTTTGTGTGAAGAGGCGCTGGCTTCCTCTTCCTCCTCTTTTCCTCTTTTTGCGGCTTTTTTCTGTCTGTCGATATTATTTAGATTCTTGCTTTATCATTATTGCTATTGATATAATGGTATGTATACACATACATACTTATATATGTATATATATGTATGTATATATATATATATATATATATATATATATATATATATATATATATATATATATGATCACATAATTTTAATCTAGATTTTTGTTCCTTTTCTTGTTTTACTCATCAAAGCCTGTTTTTTTTTTTCCATTTTATACATATAGGTAGTTGTTTGTTTTTCCGCAGGGCTACTTCACAACACAAAACAAATTTTCTCACTTTGCTGATTTCCTGTAGTTTAATCATTATTTTGTGTTAAGGTGTAACTACAAACTGGTCATGGAAACCACAATATACACTGACAGTCCTTTATTGTAAGTAACAAAAAATAAAAGAAAACAAAGACTTATTAATGGTAATTACAATCAAAGTTATATGCCTCTTTCCTCGAAATAAGGCGAAGGAAAAATAATGTTTTTTTCTGTTCATTTTGTTAATTTATTAGAATTTAAATTTGACAAGGTTAAGGGCAACTCACAATGGAAAGAATAACCATTTTCATCACATAAATGCTATGTTTTTTTTTCTATACTGACATACATATGATTATGATATTTTTATACTGTTGAAATTATACACACTATCAGACTGATTATCTCGTTTTTTAGTAAAATTTGTAAAACCTTATCCTACAATGTTACCTACTTTAAACTATGTTAGAACATTTGATCTAAAAAATCTTTTCTATCCTTTTCAGAAAAGTGAGATCAAATTGTCATCTAAAATACTGTTTTGAACCTTAGGATTTGGACATCTCCAAAAACTTTGCATAAACAATACCATCTATATACACACAGAACATGGCATAACATAACACGTCGTTCACACATCCTGGTCATAAGAAACTGTCATACGAAACAGCTCACTAAGGACCGCCACAGTCACGCAAAAGCAGACAGAAAGACACGTCTTTGAGAAGGTCATTTTCTTGAGGTATGTAAGGTTCTTGACAGTAAGACTTTAACAGTTACCAGTTTTCTATGGAATAGAATATAGACCCAATATCAAAGAAAAAGTGGTTTATAGGTTGGCTTCAGGTAACATATATATATGCATGTATATATATGTATATATATACATATATATACATATATATATATATATATATATATATATATATATATATATATATATATATATATATATATAAATATATATATATATATATATATATATATATATATATATATATATATATATATATATATATATGTATATGTATATATATATATATATATATATATATATATATATATATATATATATATATATATATATATATATACATATATATATATATACATATATATATATATATATATATATATATATATATATATATATATATATATATACATATATATACATATCTGTTACATATACGCACACATATATCTATGTGTGTGTGTGTGTATGTACACACACACACACACACACACACACACACACACACACACACACACACACACATATATATATATATATATATATATATATATATATATATATATATATATATATATACACATATATATGTGTGTGTGTGTGTATAAATACAAATATACATATATACATATATATATATATATATATATATATATATATATATATATATATATATATATATATATATGTATATATACGTATATATATATATATATATATATATATATATATATATATATATATATATATATGTATGTTTGTGTGTGTGTGTGTGTGTGTGTGTGTGTGTGTGTGTGTGTGTGTGTGTGTGTGTGTGTGTGTGTGTGTGTTTATTTGTGTGTGTGTGTATGTGTGTGTGTGTGTGTGTGTGTGTGTGTGTGTGTGTGTGTGTGTACATAAACACACATTTCCTTCCATTTAGATCAAAAGGAATTGTATTTTCTATGGAATCTCTGCCCTGAACTGCAAACAGATCAGTTTTCCTGTACAACTATGATAGCGACGTGTAAAAAAGTGATCGTTTTGAATCCATCTACTTGTCATTTTTCTGTAGAGCATACACACTGTTATGTGCTTATGGGAAACACACACACACACACACACACACATACGCACATCCACAAACACAATATCAGGTTCTACGCCGTTATATGGCCCCTCATCCTCAGTGCCACCATCAGGAGCGCCGGCATCAGGAGAGCCAGCGAGGGAGCAACCGGTCCGGCTGAGTGGCTGAACCGCCCCGGCGGGTACGGCTCGTTGACCTCGGCGAGGACCCTAGCGGGGGCGCCGCTCCCCCCGCCGATCCGGATGGGCATCACAGTCACGTAGAAGCCGGTCGGGGGCAGCTGGGGGAGACGGAGGGAGTTATTGCGGAGAAGAGGCTC